TAGAGGAGGGACAGTGGTTTGGACATGTCCAGAGGAGGGACAGTGGTTTGGACATGACCTGAGGAGGGACAGTGGTTTGGACATGACCAGAGGAGGGACAGTGGTTTGGACATGACCAGAGGAGGGACAGTGGTTTGGACATGTCCAGAGGAGGGACAGTGGTTTGGACATGACCAGAGGAGGGACAGTGGTTTGGACAAGTCCAGAGAAGGGACAGTGGTTTGGACATGACCAGAGGAGGGACAGTGGTTTGGACATATCCAGAGGAGGGACAGTGGTTTTGACAAGTCCAAAAGAGGGACAGTGGTTTGGACATGTCCAGAGGAGGGACAGTGGTTTGGACATGTCCAGAGGACAGTGGGTATATTGGTAGAAGGATGTTTGAAATGCAGCTGTTAGAAGAAAAAAAAAGACAACGGAGATATACGGATTAGAGAGATTAGTTCGAGAGGACATGGGGTAGTTGGAGTGAGACAGAGGACAGAGTGAGACAGAGGAGGGTGGAACAGCTGAATGAAGAAGACCAGCTGAAATAATTAATAAACTGAATACAGTTTAATCATGACCTGAGTTGCTCTAAAGTGAACTGAATTCTGTAAAATAAAATAATAAAAACAATCAATACATATTTTTTCATTGTTTCTTCCAATGACACAAACAAAACTGACTAAAATTATGCATGAAATAATTTATGTTTTAAGTCATCTACTTAAAGTCAAACAAAACCATATGTTTATTTAACTTTGTTTATGTAACTATATTCAATGAAAAGAAGTCTCCCTTTAAAACGTATATTTATATTTAATATGCAGCAGTTTAAACAGGACGGGATTTGAATAGAACAAGTCTTCTTTGACTGCGTCGTGAATATTTTAAAAGTAAAAAAAACTTCAGGTGTTGCGTTCAAAGTGACGTAATCTGTCGCTTCAGTTTCTACAGCTTCCAGCTCCGCAACCTGCCGGAACGTTGCGTGATGCACAAACCCGGAAGTTTCCGGACTGATCCAGATCGACTCCGCCCACTTCGCCTGAACTGATGCAAGCGGCAGGGGGCGGGGCGAAGCTCGGAGTATAAATGTTCAGGCTCGAGCGGCTCAGTCAGGTGAGCCTCTTCAGAGAGACGGTGACGTGCAGGCGCCGGAGCTTCACGCGGCGGCCTGAGGATGGAGTTTACCGCCGCTCTGCCCTTCGGACAGCGCGTGTCCGCGCCGTCGGACGAGGAAAGCGTCATGGAGAGGATTGGGAAGTTCTTCCAGCTCCAACCCCCGGAGCGAGGGACGAGTTCAGGCCGGAGAGGAAGCGTCGAGAGCTGCGATGAGACCGACACCACCTCCCTCTGTAAGTCCGACTTTTTTCTGTTCGCTGTAAATAAAAGTTTAAATGTCTTAAAAAATCGAAAAGCACCTGAGAGCTTCATTAAAGTTAAGAGTGATGCAACTGATCCAGAGTCTGTCAAACTAAACCTGACCTCCTCCCTGCTCTCTCCCCGCAGGTCCTGGCTGGGACTCGGACCAGCGGCTCCCCCATCAGGATGTGACGCAGCAGATGGAGCGCTGTCTGACAGAAGCCAAGGCCTCCACCCTCCACTGCCAGCTGCTGCTGCTGCCCCTCCACCTGCTCACCAGGATCGGCCAGCACATCATGCGCTCCTCTGCAGAGGAGCCCTGTGGGCTCCGGGGGGCCTCCATCAAGCTCTTCATGGACAGCAAAGCTGGCCTGAAGCCTGCGGGGAGCATCTTCCCCGACCCAAGTGTCTGTCCGACCTTTGAACTGTCTGTGGTGCTGAAGGTGGAGGACGGCTGGCCCCCTCTGAGATGCATCTTCGACTCCACCAAGGTTGTGAAGCTGAGGCCGGAGTACCGGCTGGTGAAGAGGAAGCTCTACTCCTCAGCCAGTCCTGTGGTCCACGACTGCAGCTAAACACCAGACCATTATGTCCTGTTCAAACTGGGACTGGACCATTACATCCTGTTCAAACTGGGACCATTACATCCTGTTCAGACTGGGACTGGACCATTACATCCTGTTCAGACTGGGACTGGACCATTACATCCTGTTCAAACTGGGACCATTACATCCTGTTCAGACTGGGACCATTACATCCTGTTCAAACTGGACTGGACCATTACATCCTGTTCAAACTGGGACCATTACATCCTGTTCAGACTGGGACCATTACATCCTGTTCAGACTGGGAGGGACCATTACGTCCTGTTCAAACTGGGACGGACCATTACGTCCTGTTCAAACTGGGACCATTACATCCTGTTCAAACTGGGACCATTACATCCTGTTCAGA